GGTGAACTATTTTCTATTCACATTTTATTTCAAGCCATCAGTAAGTGATTGTCCGCTTTGACACTGTTTGCATCATGAAACTTTGATTTCATTAAGCCATTATAAAATGGTCAACATTCCTTCTATATCAAAATGCTCTCAATTATACAATTTCGAATTCTCGGAGAAGTGCTTCGACTGATAAAGAAGCTATGTGCGGGAATAGCTTCGAATTGGAAGTTCTTTCGAAAATCAATTTTCAGGCTTATTATATTGGAATAAAAGATAGAATTCAAACGAATCGAGCTTATTCACCTGTAACACCCGAACCAGACGTACTGACAACGACTCAGTTTCAAGTAATATGTCATGAAGCTTGCGAGTGAGTTTCACCATCGAGTGCTTGGGAGTTTTCCACAAGAAAGAGCGGATATTTGTAGCATGTATCTAAATTTTTTCTTATCCTTATCACGTCTACCTTGACCAGTGCCACTGAATCTGCACTTTGAAAGCAGAATTTAAAATGATAAAAATTGACGAGCCTCACTCATTCAGTAGATACTGGAAACCACTTATAATCAGTCAAATTATGCAGAAGCTTGATGTGTTTGATTGTTGAATTCGCAGATATACTCTAGGCTTTTTGCTAACAACAACGAATAAAAAAAAGGGTGTGTTCCTCATCATCGTGTAGAGATAGTGTATCATTGAATATGCGATTGGTTATCAATGAATGCAGTTTTTTTCATTCTATTACACCATCGATAGCAATTGTTACCGAGTGTAAACAAGTGACTGAAAATATTACAAAATGCGCCTATCAGTATTTCAATTCACTATCTTAAATACGCAAAAATTAATCAAAAAAGAGTTTAGCTGATAGGCTGCGAAACCATTTCAGGTTTCATTTGGTGGAATCAATACCGGTCAATTTGACTTATAATGCGAGCACAAAGTTCATGACAACCACTGATGCTTGGTTGCAATTGATTGCAAACGCAACAAGGGAAATTCGAATCGCTTCATATTATTGGTCTCTGCTACCCAACGATACACAGGGTTATGCCGATAGCACAGCTGAAGACGTTAGTGATCAGTGCACCTTGACTCTGAAATGATCTTCTGAGATGTTGAATGAGTTCGTTGGGAAGTTACCGATTTGAATGAGGTGAAAGAATGCTTATCATGAAACATACAGCTTCCTTGTTGAGATCACATGCTTGCATTCAACAAAGATTCACGATGGAATTTACTGATCAGCTCACAGAATCTTGTACAAAATTGTTGTCCTGCGTCAAATGCACATTTCGCAGTGACCAATAATCAACATGTAAACTGTCGTGATGTCCAATTAAATTAGCACAAAAGTGGTCAAAAATTCAAAATCACAGTCGAGTGAAACCGATAATTCGTTGACTTTCAGGGCGTTAAGGTGTACGAAGCGCTTGTTGATGCAGGAAAACGCGGAATTGTCATGCAGATCACACAGAATGCACAACCTAACCCTGAAACAACGTATCTCCAAAATAACGGATGGGCACATGTTCGCTCACTAAATTTCACTCGTTTACTTGGATCAGGTCAATGAGTTTATCCAAATCGTTCAAGCCAAAAAGTCAATGATGTTGAGCCATGCAGCTCATCGATAGATCGCAATTACATCACTTTTTTGGCTGAGATTCCACGTAATGGAATTCGCTTGCAGCAAATCATGTCTC